GAATGTTGGGATGTTTGCGACCAAATGCAGAATTACGAGCAGAGGTACTAACCCTGGGACCTGAATAGCCTACCCGGAAACCGCACAAAAAACCTTCTTGCAAAATGTGGGAGTCCTGAGTATTAGGGTAAGCCCGTAAAAACGGAGCATACTACTTAGTTTTACCGGGGTTGATGCCAGCTGTGACGCAAGACAGTGCGTTTCCCCGACAACGGGTTGCGGGGTTGCCAAATGCCCTGCAGGTGGAGCAGCGATGCGCGAAGCGACACAAGGGGCGATTGCAGTTGAAGTCGTTACATGTAGGTTGACCAACCCCGGCGACTGGGCACCGACCAGGCCCGAAATTTGACCAGGGGGTGGCGGCAGTGGAGGGGGCACGCTCGCGTTGCTGGTACGGACGAAAATTATGCTGGTGCGAAACGGGCACACCAAGCAGCACCAGCCAAAGTTCGGCATCAATAGTTGCCCAAGAGCGCGACGGCACACGCGCCTGGCGCAATCGAAACTGGATGACGTACTCGCACCAACCATACCCCACATATCGAAATGCTGCAGATCGAATAGTGTCTACGTACTTCAGTAACGAACGACCATGGGTAGGATGTCGCAACAAATGCACAGATGCAAAATCAAGAAACGCTGACGTCCACTGCTCGATAGACTTAATACGCGGGGCCTGCTTATGGGGACGAATCTGCCAAAGTGGGGACTCATTGGACCCGATTGTAAAAAGCGTCTCGTCAAAGGAATTATCCAAGCCCGTGCCGCACGACGAGATCAACAAGGTTCCGAATTCTACGTACTCCCCCTCCAAATTTTGTCTTTTAGATGTTGAGGAATCGCGGCCCCGAGATTGTCACAGACGCTAGTTAATGCCATATTCGAATCGGAAGAGGAGGTAATTGACAATGTGTTTGGAGCTGAAGTTCCCGACACTACGGGCGTGAAACTGGAAGGTTGCGGGGCTAATTAAAAAGGAGTAGCAGCAGGGGACTTACCCAGCTCCAACGTTTGCGCCGAACTCCCTCCAGGCCGACTGATGGTAGCGGGCGCTGGCGTTGCATGAGTAGACTCAACACTCGCACTCTCTGGAATCATTCCGACCGTAGCCAACGGCATAATAAGTGGTATCCGGACCGGGCGATGCAAGCTCCGGTGCACTAGACCCTGCAAGGGCCCCGACCACCGACGCATCTTGACGGGAAGACTTGCGAGGCCGCCCCCGAGAACGCTTCGCTCCATCCGTCGGCCCAAAAGGAGCCCGCCGCTTGGAATTGGCGCGGGGCATAACTAACAAAATAGCTTTTGCAAGACAGACAGATTTTCTCTTTTCCAACCAAACACCACGGCTGCTCAAGCAAAAGTGACCTGGAGTAACTCTCTCCAGTGCTACTAACATTTTTTAACGTCACGCCAAACTAGTTCGAGGCATTAAATCACCGTGCCAGCAAGGCGCCAAATCAAAATAGAAACGATTCACCAAGCGGGAAATGATTACCCTTAATCCCCTTTCAAACCATTGCCTGTTTCAACTGCAAGTGGGCAATGATTGCAAGAGAGAGTTTACCCGAAAAGGAGTTGGCTATGCAGCAACCTCTTTGATGCATACCACCTTTTCCCCCACCTTGGTACAAAAGCCCTGACTCCCAGTTTACCACGAATGGTTATTGTGCATCGGCTTTGTTGTGTAAATTGGGCCAGTTCATCCACAGGCTCAGCCCACCTTATTCGGAGGGGGGAGCAATTAATCTCTTAACAAAAGACTAACTACATCATAGTCAACAGGCCTATGTGCATCACTAAGTCTCTCGTCACTGAATTAAGATCTGTAGTTTTCTTTCCCAAAATCTAGCACTGTCAGGCAGTGATTTCCACATCACAGATTTGTCAATAATTGGATTAGACAATAAACTAAATGGAGAACATTATAGATGCAACAATTACAGGACTTCAAAATCAATCTAAAAAGTGAAATAAGAAAGGTCAACTAATTTTGGTAAGGGCAGCGTGGCAAACTGAAGGAAAAAAATCCTAATCCATGTAAACGGTAGTATAAA